TTTTTTTTTTTTTTTTTTGTATGAAAAAAGGGAGACCGATATGATCATTTAGTCCAGTGGGGGCCAATCCTTTTGGCAGAAGTGCCACAAATTAGTCCTGCACACTCCCTTAGTACCATTCTTTTCCCTGCCTGATACCCTCCTCTGGTTTTGGTATCCTGCCCTGTGCTTCCTGACTGAAATCGTGGTCTGTTGTCTGTTCCCTGCTCTATCCATTGCTGTGCTGTTTGTCTTCTCCCTGATCTGCCCCATGCTACACACAGTGGCTGCTTGTGGCACTTGTTACATGGGTGGAACACCCCTCATCTAGTTTGACATTTGTGTCCCAGGCCAAAATATTTCATCCAGGGCTTTGGTGGCTGATGCAATTATGCTGCTTTAAAGGGGAGGGAGAGAATTAACCATGGTCTAGCTTAATTCTATAACTATTTTGTGTGCTCTTGTCATCCAGTAAGCAGAAGAGAAATGGCAACAATATACCAGCTGTTTAATTCAGGGGTTAATTATTCCAGTTGAGCTTACTCACTGGGATAAGAATGTACATGTTGGTTACATGTGCTCCTGAGTGGCAAGTCTCCCCCACCAATAAAGCAGCATAATTGTTTCACGTGTCTGCTCCCCTGGTAGTTCCTGAATTGAGACTGTATCTCTTGGTTGAGCTAGGGCATAGCTGCCCAACTCTTAAGCAGCCAAGGACCGCACACTCTGTGGGCCACACTGGAGGGGGCTATGTACCATGTGCCAACATGAGCCCCGGCTGCCCGCCCCGGCTGCTCCCCCAGTGTACCACATAAACACACACAGGTGCCCCCAGTGTGAGCCACAGTTTCCCCTGGGCACTCTACCACACACACACGGGTGCCCCAGCCTCATCAGCTCTCTGGGCACAGGTTGTGCTGCACCATGCTGTCCTGCTCAGGGTGGGCCAGGAACTGGAAGCTGGAGGTGGGAGGGGGAGTTTGGAAACCTTTGCTGCTGCAGCTGGAGCAATGAGAGGAGCAGGATTTGGGTGGGAGGCTGGAGGCCACAGATAAACCCCTCAACGACTGCCTGTGGCTCGTGGGCCACTAGTTGGGCAGCCCTGGCTAGAGTATGCTTTTGCCTTCTTGGAGCACACGGGGGTTTCCTTAAAGATGAACTTCTAGCTTTTTGGTTAAATTCAGCCTGACCAGCAGCAAGGGTTGGCTTATTGCTCTTTTCTGTAGCCTTCCTAATTTGTTGTTGTAGGAACTGACAAGTGCATGAAATTTATGTATTACTCCATGCAGCGCAGTGTCTGGGTCAATCTAGAAAGTTTGCGTAAGAAACTGCATTGTAGAGTTTCTTTCAGAGAAAAAATAAGGCAGCAACACAGAACGAAAAGGGATTGCATGTAGGATTATGCTCTGGGCTTTTTGTCCCTAGAAGTGACCATGGCTGTTGGAGCTATTGTATTCTGGTCGCATCGAATTTTGCTTTCTTTTGCTTCATTGGGAATAGAAGGGAACAATCTAGCATGCAGGGCCATGCTATCCAGATGATGGGGCTCCCCAAAGGTCCAGAAATTTGGCATTGGGGAGCGGAAATTAACATTGCCACTGCTTCCCTGCTGCCTAATATCCAGACCTGTGGGGAGCCCTGCAAGCTGGATGACATGGCTTTGAGGGCCAGATCCTGAGCACCACTGGTTTATAATGATCTTTGCTTCCTATGTGGTACCGCATGCTAATTGACTTTACAGCAGTTCACAAGTATTAATAAATTAAACCTCTTAATAGTCCTGTGAAGTTACTAAGTATGGTTATCTCCATGTGAAGGGCTGGGGTATAGGCAATGATTAGACCAGGGTTATGCTTTGAATCTGTGGCAGTGCCAGGAATCTAACCCACATCTGACTGCAGTCAAAGACTTAAACCTATCTGCATCAACTTATGGTTATTTGGGACTTTTGAAGGCTTTTAGAGGTTTAATGCAGTTACTTTTTGTACTCTTCTGCATTTGGGAACATTTGCTGAAAGAGAGAGTTTCCCTGTGAAATGGTACATGTTTGCCAGCCACTGATCATTAAATTGTTGTCGTTCATCTATGCTTCATGCCTGCCTTGATGGTGCCTCCCTTGTCAGTGAATGCTAGCTCTGACGTTAAGGCACTATATGCCCAGCTTTCTTTCCTTTTGAGCTGGTCCTGCGTAGCTGCTGTAGAGGAGGTGTGGCAAAGCAGAGGGTGCTGTTCTCCTCTTTTCTCTTATTCTGCTTTAATTTGGCTGCAGAAAGGTAAGCAATGTCTGGCTTTGGTGGCAGCAGCATCTGCCCTCAAGATGCACAGAAGTTGGGGAGTTAGTCCCCATGTGCTGCAGAGTTGGGTACACTTCTCAACAAGCTGTCCCATATTACCTGTGGAAGTGTTATGCCTCCTGGCCTTACTTGTTGGGTGATGAATTCCCTCTCCATGGTACTTTAGGTCATAAGAGTCAGGCTTTTGCCTTAAACTGATTTCATCAGAAGATTGTCTTTATCACAGATTAGTTCAATACCCCACCATACCCTGGCTGTTAGGGCCACATTCCTAGCATTCCTAATATTCCTCCCCCCTCCCCCCCCCCCCCCTTTTCCCTACGTCCAGCTATACTAATTGCTTTTTGCCATTGGACACCTGTGAGGGTGTGAGATTGTGGGGAAATGAACAATCTTAGAAAACCTGAGGGTGTTCAGCGCCTCACACAGAGTCATTTTTAGGACCTTTGTTTACAGCAATAAGCCAAAATTACTCTTAGTAAAGAGTATAACAAAAACATACATGCAACAAGAAAACAGTAGTGGTAAGATCAGGTTTATCCTATGCTCTTCTCTTGACACAGCTGTCTTAAGAGGGGCAACCTCTTCACAGCCTCTGCTGTAGATACAGTCATACTGCCACAGCTATACATCCAGAGGTTTAACTCTTCCTTCTCATAAGAAGCAGTTTTACTTCATAACAGTACAAAGAATGATTTGGCCAGGATAGCTGCACCTGTTTAGGAGCACTTTGTATAGTATACTAGGATTCCTATACCAGTAAAGGGTTTCTGTTACAGATGCATTTTCATACTTAACCACATTTAGAAATACAAAATGCTTGGAACTTAGTCCAACTTGGGCTAATAGCTGATTGGACTCTTGATTAAAAAATAAAAGGTAGCAACCATCCAGTCTAGTCCTCATATAGTAGTAGTGGGATGTAGGTCTTTAGACCATTGTGTGTAGTAAAAACAGATAATCAGCCAAGTCTTTTTCTGATTAGATTATACCATTTTGCCTCTTCATTTGTTTCAGCCCTTCAAAGAACCTCCCTCCCCTCCCCTCCCCTCAGACATTGTGTGTAAATCTTGGCTTACAACTGTTCATGTAGGTTCACCTGACTTTATTTGCAGTCCATTCTGCCACTGGGCAGATATAAAACTGTAACTTGTCTGTTTTGCCTTATGCCTTGAAAGTTTTGGGCACTCTGAAATGATTTTATACTTTTGATCAGTTTGGCTTTAGGGTAGCATTCTCCTTGGTTTTTGTTTGGAGGTTTTGATACGTGTCTCAGTTAAGCTGAGAAGGGAACCAAGTAAAGATGCTTTATCTTACCCCATTGTTTTGTATTGATTTATGGAGTCCCTGGTAAATGGCAAAAGACAAGCAACAACCTGAACTGATTTTAATTAAAGAGCAGCGTGAACCACTTAGCATTTGCAATAGCTTAGTTAAAGGGGGTGGTGGCTTCCTGGTGCCCTGGTAATGTTATGTATTAAATGCAATGAAAAGTGTAGCTGCTCTGGTAAGAATGAGACCATAACCAAATGGTTTTCTTTGCTTTTTCAGGATTTCGAGGCACACCTTGGGTTTTTGGTTCACATGGCAGCAGTAAACTTGACTCCACCTGGTTCTTTGGATTTAAACCAACCTGGTTTTTCAAAGGAGATACTAGGGACTAAATTGGAGGGCAAATACCTCTGCTCAGAGTGCAAGAATATTCTGAGAAGGCCATTTCAAGCTCAGTGTGGACACCGCTATTGTTCTTACTGCCTGAAGAAAATTATCAGGTAATTTTATCTCCCTTCAGTCTGAAGACAAAATGTCCAAAAGTAAAAAGAAGGGGGAAAGGAAATAAAACGTTATTATTTAGTGAGTTATGAGTAAGGTACCATGTTCTGTGTCTCCAAGATTCATCATCTGTTTCTCCTCTAAGACCTTGTAGATTCCTGAGTTTGTTGTATTCCTCGTGTGGTAGAGTCAAAGCCTCAAACAAGAGCTCAGAGGGAGTGAATAAGGCCAAGTGTGCACACCTAGGTTGGTGTGTTCCAGTTATGTGCTGCTGTAAGCAACTTAATTAGCCTCCTTCCCATAAAAAGCTTGTTTGCAGTGCCATAGAGAAGAAGAGGTATTTAAGTACTCATTTCATACTTGCAGACAAAGCTTTGGTTAAGCCTTCTGCCCATGTAAAAGCAGAGGAGGAGTAAATTAAATTTAAGAGCAGCTACTTCTATGATGAACGAACTAGCATTCATATCAGGAATGAAAAATATATAGCTTTTAAAAGGATCAATAACTAATGCCAAATGCATGTTAAGTAAGAGTTCCGTTAGCTTTTTTTTAAATAAATGCCACACACATTTCTTTGGTTCTTCAGAGTCTGTTTAGAAGCCTCACTGTAATGGAATGATAAATTCAGCATCATATAGGCTATTTATATTGTGGCTGGGTTTTTTTGGTCTCTTCTGTCAGCTCGGGACCTCAGAAGTGTGCAGCCTGTATTCAGGAAGGAATCTATGAAGAAGGAGTTTCCACTTTAGAAATAAACTCAGTAAGTAAGACTTTTCCAAATTGCTTGTGACGTTTCCTGTTTTGGCTTAGAATGTGATGACTGGCTGGAGATCAGATTCCAGCCTTTTGAACAGGTGTGAGAGATTCCCCAACTTCTAAAACTTGGGACATCTTTCAACAGAGAAGCCATTGAAATGCTACAATAAAGATTTGTCTTTCACAGATGCATCTCTAATGATACTCTGTGGCAACTGGTTGGGGATGAGGGTGAGGGGCTGTTTCTTAATGATTCATGAAAATTCAAGAGAGTACAGGTACTCTCACTTAATGTCCTGGTTAGCGTTGTTATTACGTCACTGATCTATTAGAGAACATACTCGTTTAAACTCATGCAATGTTTGGTTATAATGTTGTTTGGCTGCTGCCTGCTAGTAGGTAACTACTGTGACGTAGTTGGATTTGGTTAACATTGTTTGGCTTAGTCACATTTTTCAAGAATGTAACTACGACGTTAAGCAAGGAGTAGCTTTAGATCAAAGCTGCAGTCCTAGAGTTAATTGTCTTTGTGTGTGTGTGTTTTTCCTCACCTGAGGCTTTTCCAGATAATGCAGCTCGTCGAGAGGTGGAAAGTTTGCCGGCTGTCTGTATTAATGATGGCTGCACGTGGAAGGGGACTATTAAAGAATATGAGGTAAAGACTTGAGTGAGCCTCTTGTTGTGTGTGTCTGTGCTTGTTTCTTCCTTGTGCATGTGTGTGGCAATGGGCAAGGCATTAGCAGTTCAGTTTGTTCATGCTGACATTCACCATTACCATCTGAGCTTTTGCCTGCGCTAATTCAGTCCTAATTGCACTCCCCAAATCCCCTGAGTGGTTGTGTGCACCCTTGAGGGTATTGACAGATGAGAACCTCAATTTTTTACAAGCCCCCAAACCAGCTGTTTTGTTCCTTCCCTGATGCGAGAGCCATGCACTTTACTTCTGTGACCTCATCTCCAGGCTTCTTCTTGCTTCATTGGTTATTTAAAATTTAAATTATCTGGAAGCTGTAGTATGCTGTTTGATTATCACTGTGCCACATGTGACCAAAATAAGTGTTTAACTTCAGGCCCAAGTGAATAGATTTGTTTCGGGGGGAGGGAGAAAAGGAGTGTGGAGTTGGCAGACAGATCCTTAACCTTCTAAGTACTCCCTGGTAACTTCACTAGTCTATGGCCTATGCAATAACCGGGAGAATGAGGCCATCCCCATCATGTAGATATCCTGACCTTTAGGTTTATGGTATCATGGATTCACTGGGTATACCAGTAACCTGATCTCATGCCATAAGTTTACTGAGCAAAGTAGCCTCCGTCTTTCTCTAGAACTACACAGAGGACGTGGCCCTTGGTGCATATATGCCTCTCATTTGTAAGGTACATTCTTGTTGAAAATTTAACCACTCTCCTTAATGAGTACATTTTACTGCAGCTATTTACATTGCAAAGATTTATTTGCAGTCAGATGGGTTGTGAGAAATTAGAGTAAAAGAAAATAAAGTGTACACTATATAGGAAATTTGACAACCCATGTGGAATATTTTTTGCTTCCAGCTTTGGAATTGCAGTCCAGAAGTTGAAAGCCACTGAGTACAGGGATGGAGATAAGAACTCAGGCTGTTGGCTCCATTGATCTAAGTTAAACCCAAATCACGCAGCTACCAAGATATCAGGGTGGAAGGGTGATATCTTGTTCTTGACTAGGTACTTAAGCTTGCTGAATCTGACCTCACATCTTGATTCCATTTGTGACACTACTACAGAGTGATAGGCAGAATAACCTTACTTTGGACCCTGTCTGAGTCCTCTGGCTGGCTTGCTGTGTCCATTAATAGAGAGATTTTGCTGCATCAATGCCTCTAACTGCCCCATCTTCTAGAATACTCTAATATCTTTAGGGTGGGATTTCAACCTAGCAGTTCAATAGGAGTAGAGTGCCTAACCCACTTGGACTGGTTTGACACTCTTGGCTCTAGCTCCGTGAATGGCATGCGGTATTTCTGCTTGTGATTAGATTTTTGATTTAATGTTTGTTTCAAACTCTAGTATTTGCTGGCAGGACTTTCAGTTTAGGGGGCTGAGACCAGAAGTGGCAGCTTTGGGATATCTGTGTGTTTTACTGAGGACTCAAATGGCATAGTTGGTGCCTTGGATTGCTGGATTGAGTGTGGTCTTTTGCTGTATGAATGGTGACTTACAGCAAAGCTTTGTGTTCCTGTTTAAGGAGCTGAGTCAAATTCACGAGTAGCATAAGTCAGCCAGCCTCTGCTAAAGCAAATGGAGTCACACCTACCACTAGCTAAAACAGCTACAGTTGAGTTTGGAAAGGTGTGTGAGGCACTGCTTTAGGTTGTTAATTCCATTGGATTTTAAGTAAAAGCTTTCAGGAGAGATCCTACAAGGCCCTGAAGAATCATCAATGGCCATATCTCGTATTTCTCTTATGTAAGTTCTTTTTTGTAAAGCTAGCCAGAATTGGGGCTGGTCAGTACTTGGATGGGAAACCCCCAAGGAAAATGTGACTCAGTCATGTTGGTGACTCAAGGGATAGCATTTTTCCTTTTTAGTCAGCATTGGATCCATCCAAATGAATATTAGCTGCTGGAAGTAACTCTTTTGGATAAGATGCTAAATTGAAGTCCTTGCTACCTATAGCTGGTTATGGCATTCTAACAGGGTGAAGATTAAGCTGTCATGTCCTGGCTACATTCCAGTTTTGGTCATTACCTTCCACCTCTTAATTGATTGTTGTTTTGAAGCTTTTTTTACATTCTCTCCTAAACTGTTGTACGCTCTTAGTGTGCTACCGCAAATACCATAGAGGTGACCACACTCTGGTGGCATGTAAAGCTGTGTGTGGGTGGTGGTGGGGGGTGGGGTACACATGCGCATGTGCACTTTGGGGTCCTTCTGACTGGAATGTGGTGCATGCATACAAGATGATCTTCCCCAATCACTGGCATTTTCCCCTACTCTGCTCATAGTGCTCAGAAATGTTAGAAATGAGGTAATTCTATGCAAGAGAGGCCAGTGAAACCATTGTGGATTGTTGTGCTTCAACTCTGAGCTTGAAACCCCACTCCCAGGGTCTAGCTTGGATTGTAGCCGTCTTGAGTGAGCCCAGGGACTTTCAGCTGTAGGAGTCGATTTGTCTGAGAGCCTTACATCCTTCCCCTTCTGTGGCAAGTATTGGCATTCACTGTTAGCAAGTGTGGTGCTGGGTTGATGTTGCACCCACTGGGAACAGCTCCTTGACTGAGTGGCAGTTCAGAGCAAATAAGGCCAGGCTTCTGTTGTTCGTTCTCCTAGCTGCTTGCAGAGCAGGTCTGGATGTTACCAAGCCTGGCCATCCTGGGCATGGCAGGAAGCCTCGTATGTGGGGTTGAGGACTGCTTCAGTAAAGGGAAGTGCTCAGTATATATCTCAATCGGGGTCTCATCCTTATTCTGTGGACTTGTCTAGCCCACTGGTCGTGGAGAAATGGTCACTAGGTATACAGCAGTTAGAGGTGCTGTGGTGTTGCAGCATTTCTGCCTTGTTTGCCTGAAGCCGGAGTGTATTGCCAACAGCGTGTTTTGCGTTCTGTAGCAGCAGCAGTTCTCCCACCATGGAAAGTCCCTCGCTGTGCTATTTCAGACAAGCTGTGGAAAGTACCTAAAAGATAATTCATTGTTTGTTCATTTAAAAAGGGCACAGCCTTAGTATTGAGAACAGCCTGTCTGGCTGCACTCTTGACTATAAATCAGAAGACAGGAGTTTCTCTGCTGTTTCAGTAACCTTATGGAGTAGGAGAGAAGAAAAAACTGCTTCACAGCTGAAAATTGATAGCCCTTTCCTCGTAAACTCTGCCCCCCTCCCCTCTTCTCTCAGTTTTGCTTTCTGTTTAGGCTTAGCAAAGTTCACATCTCCATGGCAGTATCTTGTATAAACTAAATGTCTGAAAGTTGAGGCTGTCTCTTACAAAACACATGAGTTGAGTTCATTTTTCTTGTTGAATACAAGTCTGCATTAGGAAACACATTTTTCTTTTCATGTGGGTTTGGGTATAGTAGTAAATGTATGGACCTTGTAGATACTGCATCTTTGGTATTGCATCCATATCGTTTGGCATGGATGTACCTAAAAACATGCTGTGGGAAGGAGGGTTAAAACCAGATGTCTTGCATGCAAGGGGAAGATCAAACTCATGAAAGGAATGTAAAGATTGTAAAGCTAGGCAGCTGGAGCAAGAGAAATGGCCAGGAAAACTACTACTTCTGACTCGGATACTATGGCAATGAGAACTGGGTACCTTAATGGATAACAGAACAGACACAGTAGGTTCAGCCAGGTTCATAGCTTCACAACTCTCTTCATACCATGTTAAAATGACACTTTCAATGTAGCTTTCAGACTAACACGTCAAGCTACCTCTCTACCTTAAAAGTAGCCTGAGATGCCCATGGAGTAGTGTTATCATTGGTATTGGAGCAGGGAGGAGAGAGAGAGAGAGTAAAGTAAATTTCTTTTGGCTATGGAGAACTGTTTATAGATGTCAGTGGATTTTAAAATAAACTGTCGGGAACAGAAGAGCTGGCATTATCTTTAGATCATTCTTCTTGGGGAGCATGGGGTTGTTGGAAGAGTAGGAGAAACTGACCAGTTCATCAGGATGTCTTTTTTAGCTTGAGAGCAGCCTTTAAACTGATTCAGTACATTATTGATTTACTCAAGAAGCACATAAAGACTGTAGGTAAAAGAATCTTCCTGCTCAGGGGAGTTTTGCTGACAAGTGCGGAGGAGATGTTCTTGTCTGCTGAGAAGATAACATAACCTGATTCAGACTGGGTATAGCATGTAGCTCTTTCACACCGATTTTAAGATTGATTTCTTGTCACTGTCAGGCAAGACAATCCAAAAACTCAGTTAAATATTTGTGAGTGAGAGACCTCTTCTTCCAGAAACACACAAACTCATCCAAAGAAAATAGCTCTCTGGCCCAGGGTAAGATTACAGCTTCAAGCTAGAAAGGCCCACAGATTCATTCCACAGGCTGGAGGTTGAGCACCACTAGTCTGGTGGTCAGTACCTCTGCTCTTTACAAAGCTGGAATTAAAACCAACAGATTTGAAACTAGCCTCCCTTAGTCCGTGTTTATCTAGCTGGCAACCTAGAGATTAGAATGCTTCCTGTCCAACCCACATTGTAGGATGTAAGATGGGGGGAGTGCCAGAAAATGTGTGTGGGAGGGGGGAGTTGGAAAGCCCCAGCTGTAAAGGGTCTAATAGATTAGTGCTTACTTCTAAAAACAGCTCAAATCTATGAATCAAAGGGATGGCAGTGGCTTGGATAATTAACAGTTTTAGCATATGCCTCTCTGAAAATATAAAGCTGTAACTCAGTAGCTTTGAAGGTCCTTCTCAAGCCTGATGAAAAACCTCTGCCATCCTGGGTTGGACTGAAGACTACTTTGATTTTTATCAGGAAGCATTAGGCTGTCAGTTCCAGGTAGAAATTGCTGGACTCTGCATTTCGGAGAGATACCAAAGCTATCATCACAGTTTGCTGTAAAGTGTTGCCCTTGGCTAGAAGCTGACAAAAGTTATGCTTTCAGTTCATTTTTGAGAAGCTAAAGATTGAGATTTAAAGTAAACCCTGTTTGGAGAGCAGAGGTATCCAAGCCAGGTCAGGTTTTCCCCCAACTTCCAGAGGACTTTGTTCCCAACTGTGTTTTTTCTTTCATGTTCCCTTTCCTGAAAGCCCCCACTGCTTTTTAGTTTATAAAGCAATAACAAAATTAACATTTCATGTCCAAACTTCCGCCCTCTTGGGACATGATTCACTTTGCCATTAGCCTTCCCTAGGAGCAGGAGGAGAAGGAATGGAAGTGGGGCCTTGCTATAACTGGCCAGATGTGGTTCATGGAGTTTTTATTATGTGGCCTCTTGGCAACCTTATCTGTAATGCAGGGATCAGACCAATGTGGGTGGCAAGTTCTGGTATTTGTTGGAAGGCTATAGCAAGGTATAAGAGCTATGGTTGCACCAATAAAGACTTTCTTTGCTGATACTGATAGCTGATGATTAAACAACCACATAGGCCCATGCTGCTCTGATAACTGATAGTTAGTAATAGTGCAAGGCATTTTAAACTACTGACATAAATGGACCTTTTTTGTTTGTGCATTTAACGCACGCACGCTCAAGTGTGTGAAGGTGGTAACTGCCTTATTCCCATGCATGTCATCCTCTTGTCCATGGCTCCTACCCACAGCCATGCAGCCTGCGTTGCTGTCCCAGGTGGACAGGGGGCAGATCCTCATGCAGACAGCAGTGCCAGATGCATTTGGAGCCCCAGAGCATGTCACTGCCTCAGCGTCAGCAGGCCCTGTGCAGCTGAGCTCCTGTGGCTGCTGGGGTGAAGCTGCTTTTGCAAAGGTGCCTGGTGCCCGGTGGAGCGGAATGTCCCTCACATGACACTTTACCTTGCCCACACCAGCCCAGCACCTCCACAGCATCCCTGGTACTCGGGCCTCTAGTGTGCATGCAGCATTGCCATGTCAGCGGCAGCAGGAGTCAGTAATGGTTGCTTTGTTGCTGAGTGTGGCACCCTCCACTGCTCGCCAGTATCTGTAGTCTGCCACAGGCTCAGGCTGGTGGCAGGGTGCATGGACTGGATTGTACTTGCCAGGGTGCTCCATGCTCATGACCATAATTATTGGCTACAATGACCAAAAAAAGCCAATAGCCAATAATGTGATTTCTCCTTTTTATTGGTGCCAATCTGATAGCGAACCAATATATTGGTGCACCTCTAATAAGAACCTACTGCTGTTAGTGAGACATTTGGTGTCATGAGTTACTTGGAAGGAGGTGGCAGAGCCTGTACGCTAGCAGTATGCGGGATAGAAATAAACAAGAGCCTGACGTGCAGTGTTCAAAGCACTGTGACTGCAATTGCTGAAAGTGGTGATGGCCAGCAGAGCAGATCTGTCTGGAATAGTGGTGCTCAGATTTTTGGCCCTGCAGGGATGATGAATTGTGTAGGACTGGTCCACAGGTCAGATCGGGCCCTGCACTGTCACAACGATGTCTCCACCCAACTGCAGCCTGATCTTGATTGAGTTGGAGCAGTGCGGGGCCCCAGGACCCTATTCCAGTGCACAGGGCCTTGGAGTCCAATCCCAACTAGTCAGAGGTGGTACAGGGCTTTGCACTACCCATGCGCTAGGATCAGGCCGTGGGGCCACAGCTGGTGGGAATCCCTGCAGGATCCTTGGGGAGACATGGCACTAGAGGCCAGATCTAGCCCACAGGCCAAGATTGGGCACCCTTTCCCTACACTGCTAGTTTCCAAACCCATTGATAGATGGCTCCTTCCTTTAGCTAGGGCCCTATGTACACATTCTGATTTCATTGGCAGTGCTAATGTAGTCTTGCATTGAAATTGGCTTCATTGATCTGAAGCCAAAAGTGAAGATAGTACACAGGCCTCAGCCTGTACAAGGTGTGGTTGCCTTCCCCATAGTTGAGGCCACCAGGTACATATTAGACCCAAACTCATGTCCTTGAACCAGCTCCCAGGCAGTGTCAGCGTAAGACTCTGATTGAGGGATCAAGGACCGGATGTCAAATTACAATGACGGGCTGCCTTCTTCTGGGACAATGGTGATCACGAAACCCATAATGAAGCCCAGGAGAGTTGGGACAAGACAGTCAGGGTCAGATGGACCTAGCTTTAGAATGAACTTCCAGAGGTCCTTCTCCTCACCAGGCTCCTGTAACATCAGAACCACATTAAAAATGTTAATGGCCCTTTCTGCCCCGTAAAACTCAATCAGCCTAAAACATCTTTAAAACCAAACAATCTCAACAATTAAAATAGAAAACAAAAGACCTCCCCAATCACTGTGTTCATCCTGAAAAGGGAAGCAAGTCAGAAACCACGCAGAATCCCACAGGGATTTTGCTGCTGCTGCTGCTGCTGTCAGTTTTTACATGAACTGGCTTCTGCTGCCCCAGTGATGGGTGATGATCTAAAAACCTATCATAGCTAAATGCTCTATCCCTATCTCCCTCCCCTGCATGCAACTGAAGCTCCTAGTGAACATGTTAACTGACATACAATTAGCTTTTGATTCTTTTTGGGGAGCTTTGTAAGCATCCTGCCTGAGAACCCCTTGTCCTTAAATGCCTGAGAGCAAAGAGGAACCTGTTGTCAGCATTGGTGCTTTTCTGCAGCTGACCCATCTAGTTGTAAATTGGGTTTCAGCTTTCTACTCCTGTGTTGGCATTGGCTTTGGTTGGAGAGCCTACACCATCATCCAGTTTAGTAGTCTGTGTGGGGAAAGCTGAGCAGCTCCAGGCTGGTTCTGGCAGAGAAGGAACGCGGGAAGCAAGCTAGTAAATTCCATGGTAATAATGCTGAACTGTGTGGCAGCAAGTTGCAGTCCTATTTACAAGCCATAGTCTTAAAGTGCAGGGCCCTGACTGAGATGAATGGAATAAGACCATACCTTGTGAAGTGATTGTTCTGGGCTCCCTGCAAACCTAGGGAGGCATCTGCCTAGTTGCATTGTCAAGATTTTCCCCACAACCATATGGGCTAGAAACCATCCTGCTTTAGAGTGGAACTGAGATTCTAGCTCTCAGTTCTGCCATGAGCGATATATCCTGTGGCTGCAGAATTCAGAAAGCCCTGCCAGTGTCCATTCCTTTCCTGCAACATCCCATCAAAGTTGCTTGCTCCTCTCCACCGTATCCCCTTTCTTTGTTTTTGCTTTTTCTGTTGCTCTGGTGTCTTTGTCTCCCACCTTCCCTGGGAAACTTTACACTCTGTAGGGTGCGGAGGAGGAAGAAAGCTCCATTGCTGGGCTACCTGTGATCTGGCTGATCTGAGAGCTCTGAGAGAGAAGCTTTGGGCAACAGGCTGCTGCTGGTCCTGTAACCAGCTATAGAAGGAGCCATAGCAGAGGTGCAGGGTGGCTTTCAGAGAGCACCTTGTGGTTGAAGGTTATGTAGCCTACTCTAGTCCTGCTATTATGCCATGTCTCGTACCTCCCTGCCAGACCTAGGGCAGAAAGTAATATTCCTGAAAGGTACTCGGAGGCATTTGGCTTAAATCATTATGTTCCCTTTGCCCTGTTTATGCAGGCCCAACAGAGCAGCTCATCCTATCATCCATTAGGATGCACGCTTTTCCTACCTCAACACATCAGCATCCACTTGACAGGACACCCTCCCTCTCTGTATGTGTCTCTGTGTGTTTTGTCTACTCTATTGAAATATGCTGCTCTTGTTGTCACAGAGCTGCCATGAAGGGAACTGCCCGTTCATGCTGATTATGTGCCAGGCATGTAAGGGAATGATCAAACTGAATGACAAGGAGCGCCATTCTGAACGGGAGTGCCCTGAGAGAAGCCTCAACTGCAAATACTGCAAATTGCTTTTCTACTTTCCTGACATTAAGGTACGAGAGTCACAGCATGAGTATGCTCAGTGAGCTGGACAGGCAGACCCTTTCAGACAAGTGTCTGGAGGTGAGTGCCGGGTGTCCCACAGTAGTGCTAGTGCATTGAAGTGGCACTCCTGATAGGAGGGTCCCATCTGGAGTTAGTAGAGTTTCTATCTTAGCTAGCGTTTGTAGGCAAACTGCAACTGTCCATGGGACCACTACAGTAGCATTCACAGCAGCTGATGAAATAGACTGTAGCCTACAAAAGCTCATTCCTCTCTGAACAAGTTTGTCTATAAGGTGCTGCCCTGCCCTGCTTTCTACCTCATTTCTAAAGATGTTAGGTAAGCCAAGTGCCTGGGAAGTCAACTAAGTGAAAACAGGACCACACTTTAGCATTGATATCCATCCTCTAAGTGACTTGCATTGATATCCATCCCCTAAGTGACTTGTACAACAGAGTAATTGCTGTGCTGTTGTCTAGTCACTCCTACAGGATGGAAGTTGTCATCAGCAGGTTTTACTTGAGGGAGAGGAGGTAGTCTTTACAAAAGAGCAACTCAAGCCAGTGGTGGTGTTTACACTGTTAGTACTGTCACATTCTCAGGGCCTGATCTTGAAGCCACTGTGATGCATACAGTTTTGCTGTTGACTCTGGTAGGAATTCAGTGCGCTGAGGAGGATCAGCCTGGTACTGTGTAAGTGAGATGGAAGCCACTTCTCTACTTTGCCTCTCTTCTCGGGTTTTCCCAGTCTGCTTGCGTGACTGCAGTGTAATCAGAAAGAATATTATGTTCTTATCTAGCCCACTCACAGGCTGCTTAAATGTACTTGAGGTACCTGATGTCGACATTAGAAAGGCGAACTTGCTCACCGAGTGGGGGGGCTGTTCATGTCACAATTGCCACATGTCTGCCTGGCATAGAGTCCAACCCATCAGTCTTGAATGATGTCCCTTGCCTCTTTGGTTCAAGAGTGGGGTGCATTCCTCCTAGGGGATATAGTATCATCCCTTTTGGAGCTGTTTTCTGTGGCACTCCTGGCTGGAGTGAAGCAGTGGGGAAAACCAGTGGAGATTTCAGAGGAGTTTTAAAGTACTTGCATAGACATTTTTGGAAACATGCCACTTGCCCAGAAATACTAGCTTTATCTTAAAGAGACATTTGATACACACAGTCTGGTTTCACTTGCAGCACAACGGCAGATTAGTGCTCAGTCAGTACTTCCCTTCTGCCTCTCACAAGCACAGCATATCTCTGATAGTGCATCTATGTTTGATTCTATCTGTGGGTGCTCCTCAGAACTGAAATGTTTGCACTTCTTCCCTTTCCCCGTGATGGAAGATATATGCTGTGTAGCATCTTTGGACTAGATGGGAGGGTGGAGATTGAATGAAGGGAGAGGCCATAGAAATGAGGCTTTATTGTAAGTGAGAAACAAAAGCCCCATCCTACCAGATCTTCCATTTCAGATGCTTTGTTGCTTTGAAGTGGTGGCATCTGATTTGAAGAATAGGGGGATTATTTTGAGGTGCAAGGCAGGGGAGCAAGCCAGGCTTTCTAGATGACAAGAGTAGTTACCATGTAAGGGCCAGGAGAGATCAGCCATCCTGGTAAGTATGTGCATCTCTTTCAGTCAGTTTTTTACAGGAGAAAATGTACATAATTCTTCTTCCCTTGAGTATTCACAAACACCGTGAACACTGCCCAGCTGAATGGCAGACTGAGTGATTCATATCTCCAAGGTCTCATGGCAGCTCTTTTGTATCTAATATGGTGTTCTTTTAATGCATGGAAGGGTGGGGGCAATTTAGTGAGACATGAATCTAAGTAATTAATACTTTCCCTTTTTAGTTTGCAAGTTCCTAGGGGTTTTTGACAATATCTGCTTTTATTGTGTGTTTGTACAGCATGAACACAACTGACAAAGCTACTGTATGTTTCAGATTTCTGATAACAGTAAGTCTGCTTATAAAACAGATGAGGTTTTAATGCCAGATGGGCAACCCCGTCTGTTTAATCTTTCTTGATCTGAATTTCAAACTGTGCATAAGTAATAGAATTACAGTAGATTATCAGAACATTTTAATATAAGCTTGCACATAAGAACAGAACTCTTTGACTAGATTTCCACCTTGCTTAAGAAATGATTTTAACTTGGGCAGAATATCCAGTTGCTCAGTTCTGAACATTATACAGCTAAAATGAAGAATGAGCTTTCCAGCACTTCAGAAATTAAATTAGAAACAGAGAGAGATGTATTAGCGTTCCTATTTTAACTTAATTTCTTGTGCCTGGCAGAAAGGGCCAACAATCCATTTTCTGTATTAACTTTTTTTCTCAAATACAATTCTTCTTTTTCTGGCTGGTTGGTTAGAAATCGTTTTTCTATTGAAATGGTCTGAACATCTAAAAGCTCTGTATCTGTAAGTGCTAAATGGGGCTTTGGGTTTTTGGATCAGCCAGTTCATGCCCATTATGGCAGGCAAAAAGGGCAAGCTGCTTAGTAGAAAGGCAGCTTTTTCCACTTAAGTTGCCTGCTTGTGTGCTTTCCTGGTAAAGTCACAAATGGAGTTTCCTGCTGATTTATCACAGTCCTGCACAGAGAGTAACTTGATTTTCTTAGAATTGCTGAGAGCCAAAATGAATAGGTATTAAATCAAGGCTGAGTACTTGGAAGGGCACAAGGGCACCCAAACACCATTATAGCTTGGAGACTAGAAATCTGATTTGGTATGCCAAAAGGCCACAACTAGGCTGGAGTTTGAGTCACGCTATCACATGAAATGCTTCCTATATTAGAAGGGGTATTTGCAATAAATCATTGGGTCCACTGAATTGTATTCATTGCAGTGCCCTTATCAAAGTTGTGTTTGATGCACAAATGGTCTCCTCTCAATTCTTTTACAGGCTCATGATGAGATCTGCCCTAAATTTCCACTGACTTGTGAGGGCTGCGGGAAAAAGAAGATTCCAAGAGAAAAGGTATTTGAACATTTATGTCCCACAGTACACATCAGTTGTGGTTTGTATTCTGGTAGAAGATGCTTTGAATTCTGTGAATGAACAAGGGAGAAGTGGTGGTTAATCTATACGAATACGAAATGGGGAAGACAAAGAAATCCATTTAATTTTAAGTGGCTGCCACTAGTGCACATGGAAGATGTTTCATAAGGCTCTTAGCATGCGCATGTGCTTAGTCTGTGATCAGCTATAATTACTTGATGTTCTTGATTGAGAAATGAGTACTGCACATAAATCAGACTCAAATTAATGCTGCATTTGGTGACTACTGTTACAGTGAAGTCCATTTCCCCCTTTGCTCAGTTGATAACCTAGGTAATTTCCATTCTAGAGGAATGAAAGAAATCCCCTGCTCAGGTAAATGAAATCCTCTAGACCTTGCACTGTATTTGATATTTGTCCAAGGGCAAGCTTTTGGGAAAAGTGAGGAGGTGCTAAGTCCCAAAACCGTGATCAATAGAGAAAGTGAACCTCTGTCACTGTCCCATCTGGGAACCAAGAGCTGCCTTGGGACAGCTCAAGTGGATGTGCCACTTCGTGGGAACAACAGAGATTCCGTACTGTTGAATAAAGAAAGAAAGCAGCAGAACGGACAGCTCCTTAGAGGGTAGAGGCCTCATCTCAACTCCTCTGTAGCCTTAACACTGTTGTTATGGGTGATAATCTCCCTGAATTTGAATTCTGAAGCTACTCCAGTAGACCTGAGCTTGTGCCAACAAGATTCTTGTAGCTGATGCCTTGGATAGTTACATTTCCTTTTTTTCTTTCTCTTGAAATCTTTTGTTGTCCAGTAGCAGACATTGTTCTGGCTTAAACAGTGCTGTTGCATATAGCCCTTGGGTTAGCTTGAATCTTGAAGTAAATAAGTCAAATAGGTTTGGGAGTAATTGTTAAATTGATTAAAAACTCCTCTTGTTCCGACATTGGCATCCTGTCTGGTGCATGTAGATGTTAAATGTGAAGTGTAATTGTTGCCTAGAATTGGCCCTGAGTATTTACTTGGTAGAAGGAAGATTAGAAACAAGATGATAGCATGTCATTACCTGTTAATACTAGTCATGTAGCATGTGGGAGCCCAAGCTACCACTTGCTCCATTCTGGGTTGTTGACACTTTCCTGAAGGCAGCTGCCGAAAAGATGCTGCTGTTCTGGGAAGCATTAGATTTGGGATTTCTGAGGGACAGGATTTTCTGCATTTCAGGAAGGGATTTTTGGGTGGAGCAGGGAGCTTTTAGAATAATTGAAAAGAGGGCAGGAAGTCCTCTAGTCCAGTCCTCGGCTTAAGGCAGGATCTTGCCTATCTAACTCATCCCAAACATGCTTGTCTAACCAGCACCTGAAAATTCCCAATAACAGAGATTCTTGGTTATCTGTTCTAGTGCATAGCCACCCTTACAAAAACAAGGTGTTTCCTAATATCCAACGTTAATCTCTTTTGTTAATATTTCAGCTCGTTGCTTTTTGTCCTGTTTTCTGTGGACAGAAGAGTTGGGTGCCATCCTCTTTTATATCAGTTGTTTTGTATTTGAGGACTGTTATCAAATCCCCTCTCAGCCTTTTCTCCAGACTAAATAATCCCACATGCTTCCAACCTTTCCTTGCTATATTTCCCTTGCTCTCACAAGCATGTTTGCTGCAGTTAAACAGAGAACACAAGCAAGTTCTTAGATCTTTAGGGCTTAGCTGGAAATGAAAATATCAAGCTGTGACATGTCCTACCCTCTTCCCTGCACACTGGGAGCCATCGGTACATGAAGTCATTGGTTTCAATATGACACAGAGGCAGCCCTTAGGTGCAGTTACACAACAAGGGAAAGGGAAAATATGGGGCAGGAGGAAACTTGGAACTTGCATGGCTTTGTGCAGTTCCAACAAGCAGCAGCAGGACGGTTGAGGGTGGAAATGTTTCCTTGCCTTGGATCTCTCCTTGCTTTGTTTTGGTCATCACAACTGAACTAGGTTAAGCTGTACAAGTACAGTGTTGTGAAACTGGCACAGAGGTGAATAAGTGCCCTTAGAAAAGCAGTAGTTCCATGCCTGAGAAGGCCTGTGTTCACTGCGTAGCAGCACTTTGAGAAGGCATTGCAAAAGTCTTGTTATTTCCTCTAGTTCTGGCTATGATTGAGTGGAAGTCCTTACAGCAGGGGTGGGCAGTTGTTTTGGGTGGTGAGGTTTGGTGAGCTTTTGAGGGCCACATGGGTAGGGCTGCCCCTTAAGGCTGCTAGCTCTGTTTTGAATCTATTCCGGGAGATTCCCAGAACGCCAATGTGCCCACAACTCGAACTTGCCCACGTGGTTGTGTATATCAGGTATAGATTATGTTGTGTAGACTTTGTCAGGAAGGCAAATGCACGTTACTATCACATTTAAAAAACCCACTGGATTACTGTATAAATCAGGTTCAACATTTACTATTTATTATACTGAATGTCTTATTGTTTATCTCATGGGTGACTCTCAGTTGTCTCCTGAAGATTTGTATCCAACTCCTGGAGACGCCAGGGCAATCCTGTAGGGTTGGCAACCCTACCGCCCCTTGACAGTTGCCCCACCCCCTGATCGGCATCTTGGGACTGGAAGTCCCGTCCCTAACCCCTGACCTTTGCCACTGGAAGTCCCTCCCCTTGCGTGCACACACACATTCCCTCCATGGCACAGCAGCAGCAGGTGGGGGCACTCGTGCCTGGTGCAGGCACTTGATGACGTGTACTGCCAGCCAGCACTGCACATAGCAGCAGGAGGCACAGCCCCTGCCAGATGGCCTCTATCTCTGGTACTCCCCGCTGTTCAAGTGCAGCCCCCGGCTATAGCCTGCCCCTCCACCCCCCCACCCTGGTGCCCAGGGCAGGCGGGGCGCCAGGGAAGCCGAGCAGGTCCCTCTGCAGCTGCACCAGTGGCAGCAGCAGCTCCGCTCAGAAGCTGTGCGCTGGCTAGGCTGGGCCCTTCTGCCCATGAGGGTGGGAGCGAGGCACAATAGGGTATGTTGGTGGAGTGTGTACACGTGGGCACCTTGCTTCCACCCTTGTGGGCGGAAGGGCTGGGCAGGGTGCAGTTAGTTGGTGGGTGCTGTGGGCCGGATGAAAGTGCCTGGTGGGCCAGATTTGGCCCGTGGGCCTTATTTTGCCCACCCCTTTGTTAGTCATTTTGAAGAGCTTCATTTTCAGTCACAGAGATGTCTTTAAGATACAGTGAAAGCTGTGT